TCACTCAAATGAGAAATATGCCAAAGAATAAAATAATACTATACATAATTTTTAATGTATTATATTTGTAAACTTATGTTGAAATTAAAAAAAATATTACAATACTATTTTTGTGTTCTATGAAAATTTTTGTTGCTTCATATAGACCAAATTTTTAATTAAGAACCTCCCCACCCCTGTCAATGGTGTCCCGCTTTACCGATGTTAAAATCTGGTCACCTTATCTTACTAGCCAACGAGCAGTTGACTAATGTGAATTTGGGGCTGAAGAAGATTTGAAAGGCAGAGACATATTTATACAAAATAAATAAATAAAATGGTATCTTGGCAGAACATGTTAATATGTATTATTTATTTATATATATGCATATGTATATACTCTATAGTCAATCAATTTTTCACTGTACAAAACATATTTATGCAAAAAAATAAAGTAGTATCTTGGCACAACATGTTAATATGTATTATTTATTTACATATGTGCATATATATGTATTCTCTATTCTGTCAATTTTTCTCCATACAAAAAATACATGATAATGTGTAAAATATTTTAGGTGCATCTAAAAAGTGTACCGTAAGGTACTTTTTTTTACATGGAGTAATTTTGTAATTTTTATTATAGTAAACATCTCTGGGGGCACAAAGTAATAGTTAAGTAATACACAGCAGTTTTATTTAAAGTATGTCATTTTACCCGTCTTTAAAAGTAACTGTACTTGTCTCCTTCTTTAAAGGAAGTTGTGGTCTTACTTATCATAATATTATCCAAGTGTGAACAATCATATGTAAAAGATTACTTCAAAAGAAAACACAGACGGTAGGTAAACAAAGTCAACTGCAATTAGGAATATATTGCTAGTATCCCTTGTTAGAACTGGGTGTTCAAAAAAGAAGTACTTGAATTAAGATGTATCTGTGTAAAGAGGCATGAAATGGAAAATTCAGAGTCAGAAGCAGACAGCTGTCATTATGAATCCTGCTACTTCTCTCATTATTGCAAAGCACACAGAGTATTTGTATTAGTGCCAATTAATCAGCATTATTGTTATAATTTGATTAGCCGGTTACTGAGTTAGCAAATGTTAAGAGGGATAATGTCTCCAAAGTTTAAAATAAAAATCTCCTGTGCTTGGAGAAGCAAATAGTGGAACTGTTTAAAGACCATGGATTTTGGACTCTGTGACCCACATTTCTTCTTTCTCAGAAGGAGATAGTAACACAAAACACAAGGTGCTGCAGTAAGCAGTAAATGAGATAATCCTTCTAAAGCGCTTGCCCGGGAACCTGGCTTAAGAAAGTACTTCTTGAACTGTGGCTGGTAGTAGATAATGACATCAGATGTTACAGAGTTTTACAGGAGTTAGAACCGTGATGTTTGAACCCTAGGAAAAGCAAATAGCATCCTGCTTTCTGTATAAAATATACACCCTTCCACACTCCCCCCTCTACCTCTGAATAAGGATTAATTCAACCACTGGTTTTTCTTTGCTAAGGCTACTTCAGTGATTCCTCCAACTGGTCTTCCTGCGGTTACCTTGACCCATCTTTCTCACTGTTATCCCACAAGATGCAGCTCTGAGCTTGTGAACCCATCCTCAAACAAGAACTCACTAAGCAACAACAGAAAACAATACAAGCCAACAACAACAAATTCTTCAGTGGTTCTAAAGAAAGACCCAGCAGCTGGTACCCAATACTAGACAACGTCTACACTGCTGTCTTCCCTTATTAAAACCTGGCTGACCTGGCCTTGCTTCAGTCAATATTCAGTGCAGCCTCTGACCTCTTTCTAGTCCTCTCAACCCCATCCCCCCAGCTCACAGTACACAGGAACTGGTGTCTGGTGTGGAAGGTTAGGAGAGAGACGATTGGATTTGCAGCTTCACAGGAGGGCTGGGTTCTTAGTGCTCTCCCTTCCCCACCCAAAGGAAGGGGCAGAAATCATTGAAACTGGAGAAGACAGAATAAACGAAAACCCTCTGTACTATCTCAACTACTTGTTGAATTAAAAACCTAATGCCTAACCCAGTAGCAGTACAATGAGAAGTTGGCAGTATACAGCTTGAGGCGTTTGTAATTCAAGATGTATTAGGCCTGTTTTCTCGAGTTTTCTAAAAGCTGCAGTGAGTTTGTAGAGAAGGGTGGGGTGTTTGCTGCAGGTGGGGACCAGGACGGAGATGGAGTACTACCACAGCTCTTAGAGGGCATAGAACAGGACCTTGATCGAGGATCCCAGGGTTCTCTGAGGAGGAGCACTGAGGTTGAACAAAGCCAGGCCGGCATCTGGCTACCTGGACAGCTGCTGGCCAAGGGTGATGATGGCACAAACAAAAAGAAAGTTGGAAGTGCAGATCAAATAGATCAACAGATTTGGCCTCCCTTCTCTAGGCAAACCAAGACAAGTTGTTCAGTACCAAGAAAATTACACACACACTATCGT